GGACGCATTCAACAAAGAGCACACTCGACTATATCCATTCCGATTTATGGGGACCAGCACAGGTTCCATCTAAGGGTGATGCTCTTTACTTTGTAACGTTCATTGATGATTATTCCAGAAAAGTTTGGGTTTACTTTCTGAAAAGAAAAAGTGATGTGTTTGAAACCTTCAAGAAGTGGAAAGCCCTTGTTGAGAATCAGACAGGGAAAAAGATCAAACGTCTTAGGACCAATAATGGTCTTGAGTTCTGTGGTGGCGATTTTAATGAATTTTGTGCAGATGCAGGTATCGTTCGACACCGTACAGTTAGGCACACTCCATAGCAGAATAGAGTAGCAGAACGTATGAACAGAACTCTATTGGAGAGAGCAAGATGCATGCTCTCTAATGCTGGCATGGAAAAAGATTTTTGGACTGAAGCTGTTAACACGGCTTGTTATCTGGTTAATCGCTCTCCTTCAACAGCAATAGAATGCAAGACTCCTTTTCAGATGTGGTTAGGAAAACATGAGAGTGATATGAATGAGGTGGAGGGTCAGGTGGAGCTTCTAGAAAAGACCTCTCAGAATGATTTGAACGAGCAAATTGCTCCTGTTGATTCAAGTTCAGATGAGGAAGCTGTAGATGAGGTGGAGCAGCCATACTCTATTGCTACTGGCAAAGAAAGGAGGCAGACCCGGCCTCCTCAGAAATATGGGTTCTCTGATCTGGTGGATTATGCTCTTATGACAGCAGAAGATATGGGTATTCAGGAACCTTCTACCTATACGGAAGCTGTTACTTGCATAGAATCAGAGAAATAGGCTGTTACTATGGTTGAGGAACTTGAATCACTTTACAAGAACTAGACTTGGGACTTGGTGCAGTTGCCTAAGGGAAAAAGAGCCATTGGGTGTAAATGGGTCTTCAAGAAAAAGGAAGGAATTCCAAGTGTTGAAAATGCTAGATGCAAGGCTCGGCTCGTAGCTAAAGGCTACAATCAGAAGGAGGGAATTGATTATGATGAAGTTTTCTCCCCTGTGGTAAAACACACTTCCATTCGTGTGTTGCTGGCTATAGTTGCTCAATTTGACTTAGAGCTTGAGCAACTTGATGTGAAGACTGCTTTTTTGCATGGCGAGCTTGAGGAAACTATTTATGTGACCCAGCCCAAGGGCTATTATGTAGAAGGCAAGGAAGATCATGTTTGTAGATTGAAGAAATCCTTGTATGGTCTGAAGCAGTCACCAAGACAGTGGTATAAGAGATTCGACAGCTTTATGATAGGGAGCGGTTATCATAGGAGCAACTATGATAGTTGTGTCTACTTCAGGAAGGGTTCAGATAGATCCTTTGTCTATCTTCTCTTATACGTGGATGACATATTCATTGTTGCAAAGAACATGTCAGATGTGTTGATCTTGAAGAAACAGCTCAATGAGCAGTTCGAAATGAAAGATCTGGGTCCTGCCAAGAAGATCTCAGGAATGGAGATTCAGAGGGATAGGAAAGGAGGGAAGTTATATCTCTCGCAGAGGAGTTATATTGAGAAGGTACTTGAGAGGTTTGGCATGCAAAATGCTAAGCCCGTCAGTACACCGTTGGCATCCCATTTTAGACTCTCAGCTCTACATTCACCTCAATCAGAGATCGAGGAGGCTGCAATGTCTCGTGTCCCATACTCCAGTGTAGTTGATAGCATTATATATGCTATGGTATGCACTCGTCTCGACATTACGCAGGCAGCTAGTGTGGTTAGTAGATATATGGCGCATCCTGAAAAAGTCCATTGGCAAGCAGTGAAATGGATACTTAGGTATCTTAGAGGCTCCGCAGAGTTGGGCCTAGTGTTTGATAGAAACAGTTCCAACGGTACCTCAGTTGTGGGATTTGTGGATTCCGATTTTGCAGGTGATCTCGATAAGAGGAGATCTTTGACTGGCTATCTTTTCACATTATCTAGTTCGGCTATTAGTTGGAGGTCAACCTTACAGTCGACAGGTACTTTGTCTACTATAGAGGCAAAGTATATGGCAGCAGCAGAAGCAGTGAAAGAAGGTATTTGGTTAAGGAATCTTGTTCAGGAACTTGGGCTCCAGCAGGAAGACAATTTGGTTATCTTTTGTGACAATCAGAGTACTATATACTTGATTAGAAATCAAGCATATCATGAGAGGACTAAGCACATCGATGTCAGATATCACTTTATTCGAGAGGCAGTTGCTGAGAGAAATATGACGGTAAAGAAAATTGGTACAGCTGACAATCCTACTGATATGTTGACCTAGCCAGTCCCCGCCAACAAGTTTAAGCATTGCTTGAACTTGATTGGCATGCTTGGTTGAGTCTGCCCCTTCTGGAGCTTTGGTGGCGAGGTAAATGAAAGTTCTACATTTGTTTTTGAAGTGGATATGTTCTTTTGTTGCAGCCCTTGTTTCCTACACCGAGTTAGCTCACGTAGGCTTAGGGATGCTGAGAGAATGTGTTCGGCTTCTTGACTGTTTTATTTGGGGAAATTCAAGCCAAGGTGGAGATTTGTTAAATATGTCTTGAATTTTATGTACTCGGTCCGGTTTATCACCCGACCCGACATATTTTTTGTGCGACCCAAAAGTGGAGAAAAAAATTGAGATTTAGTTTGCTTGCTCCAGGTTGGGCCGATAGGCCCAGCCCGAAGCAAGTGAACAAATCTCTATGGCGGTCTGCTCAAGTTGGAGTAAGCGAACAAATGTCTCGGGGGGGTTTGGGGGCGTAGCCCCCAAGGAAATTTTTTGGGGAGCCCTATTTATACTGCGGCTAGGTTTTTTCATTGATTAAGAGAGATTTTCGTTTTGGGAGAGATTAGTGAGTCATGAGGTTTTGTTAAGTCGTTTTTTCGACTTCTGAAAACTGTACTCTCTTTGATTATAGTGGAATCTTGTTTTGCCTCGCTTGTGGATGTAGATCACCTTGTGATAGAACCACGTAAATCCTTATGTTCTGTATTTGTTTTTCCTCGTTTGTTTCGAACAACAGTAACTAGAGTGAGGCATGTTCATAGTTGAAGAAGAACCTGATTTCCTTGAGTGCCTTGGATTTAGTTAGGTATCCGTACGATTCAAAAGTTGGAGTTTTGAAGGTCGTTTGAGGTGCCCTATTACTAATCTAAGGAATCAAGCATGATATCTATATGAGTTTCGAGGTAAGGTAGTCAAGAATTTCTCCATGGAGACATTAGATGCATTTGCTTGAGAGTCTAAATTGTGGCATATACTTTTAGGGCACATTGACAAGAAAATCCTAAAGATTCCGAGAGAAAGGAATATAATTTGTGGTTATGTGGCTGAGAAACATACGAGTTCTTGTCTTAGATAAACGATGGAAAGTGCAATTCATTATGTCTGTATGAGATACAATGGAAATTGTAGAGTTGATTTACTTAGATATTTGCAGGCTGTCACAATTTCCTTTGAAAGGGAGTGCCAGATTTATGGTAATAGTTATGGATGACTGCTCGAGGAGGACCTAGGTATTTGTGTTGAGGCATAAATTTGATACTATTATTAGAATCAGGTAGTTGAGAGTTTTGACAAAATATGGAAACTAATAAGATGATCAATTGTGTGTGGCCTTACAATATCATGGACTTTTGATAGAAGCTGTTAAACAAATTTTGCATGATGAAAGGAATAGTGAGACACCACATTAGGGTTAGTGAACCACAACACGTAGAATTAATGAGCAAAATATTATAGAGAGGGACCATAAATGCTCTCTGGTACGAGTATGGTAAGGAAATTCCTGGTTGATGTGCTAAGTAAAGCAAGCTACCTACTGAAAGATCCCCACTACCATAATTGGATGTTGGACTTTCAAAAAAGTGTAGTTAGGTAACGTTATTGATTATTTTATTCATAGAATATTGGTTATCTATATTATATTCGAGTAAGTGATGGAAAGTTTAATGAGAGGGCAAGAAAGTGCTCATTTTTAGGCTATGCACAAGGTGAATGGGACTATCGATTGTGGTGCCTGAAATTAAATTCACCTATTGTCAGCAAAAAAATCACATTTGACGAGTCTCCAAACCTTCTAGGTAGGAGTGGCCATGACAGTGTTCATCTGGATGTGGACAGTGTTCAAAATAAAGTGATGTTGCAACCAAAAGCTCCTAAGGTAACTAGTACGAGTGCAATAATCAACAAATATGGTGCTTGTAATTTGAGCCAATAATTTATGTAGCCACAGAGTTTGGCAAGGTATGTATTCGATCTCCTACCAGATTTAGATGCAACGGTGGCTTTGCTTTATTGTGGCGGAGGTAGTTTTGTCTAAGAATCCTTCTAGAGCAATTACAGGTGCAAGTGGCGTTGGTGTTTTGATGAGGTGCACGGTTATGGCGAAGTTTGAGTGCGGCTTAGACTTGGAAGATCTCTGTGGTGGTTTAGCCCATTTGGGGCTGTGGGATGAGTTGCAGCAAAGTTCAAATTCCCATCATTACTTAACTCAAACGTTGAGCCAAGGTGGAAATTGTTGATAATATGTCTCGAATATGAGCTCATAAAAAAAACCCATCCAAGTAGGTTTTCTAGTATGAATAGTTTTCCTAGTTTAAGTAGGTTCCATATTGCAAATACAAATATTATAGAGTAGGTCTCCGTGCCTTTTATGTAGAAGTAAGAGGTGGAGCTTTCACTGATCAAGCCAATAAATGTTATAGTAAAATTTGTGACTTTCTTTATGAGTTTGAGAAATTGTTTTGCGGAAAATTGGGAGAGCTAAACACAATGTGAGTTATTGGGCAATTGAGGATTATGAAACACTAAGAGTATTTGAGTGACTCAAATATGGTAGTAATTTTTATTGTATCGCTTGATGTATAGTGAAATCGTATCTGCTCTCCTCATGGAGAAGTCACCTTAACCAAGTCACGTAAATTCTTTATTTCCTTGTTCTGTTTATTTTATTACTCAATCGTTTGTTTTTTACTATAGGAGTTAAAAATGAAGTATTGCATGCATAGAATCTCAAAACAAGGATACCTTTACCTCTTTTCTCCTTAAGGTACTGAGGGCTTCCCCGTGATTCCATAGCCTACTGCGTCTTCCAGGTTTGGCGGGGTCTTCCTTGTAGACAATTTCTCGACCAAGGTCTCTTAATAGATCATACATCGAGAGCTCGTTATTCTCTCCAATTTTCACCAGGGACGTGAGAAGGAGTCTCTCAATACCACTACAAGGATAAAAACCGCAGTCCTCCCACATGTAGAAGGGAATTCTTTTGTCCTTTCCTATAAAGAAGCAAGCTATATCGAGATATATATCTTTTGTCCCTTGATCTAGAGCTTCATAGCTAGCCGTCAACACTTGCTGGACGGAATCGACTGGCTCTTTTTTCAGTTGATGTAACGTCTCATTCCATATTTCTTTGTTTTTCCTGTACAGAAATGAACCTACCACCTCAATTGCTAAAGGAAGCCCTTCAGTTGTGAAAACAATGCGCCTGGACAGATAATCATAGCCCTCATGGGGAGAAGTTCCCCCAAAAGCATGTCGACAGAAAAGACGAAGGGATTGATCCAACTCCATAGGCTCAACTTCATAAGTTGCAACCACTTCAGGGATATTAAGAAGATCGGCATTTCTTGTAGTCACAATTATCCTGCTTCTCGAACCAAACCAGCTTAGCTTCCCGGCAAATGCTTCAAGATGATGCCTCTCATTGACATCATCGAGCACAATGAGAACTCTCATATTGCGAAACCTATGTTTGATATAGTGATTACCTTCTTCTAAGGAACCCAAGCTTCTGGGTTCTTGTTTTAGCAGTTCAGAAACCAGTTGGCTTTGCAGATGTTGCAGGGGCTCGGTTTGCGATATCTCTTGGATGTTTCCCAAATAGCTACAGCCTTCAAACAGGGGATATAGTTGGTTGTAAACAAACTTTGCAAGGGTTGTTTTCCCAATCCCCCTAGCGCCATGTATTCCAACCATTCGGACCTCATTGCCGCGTATTTCAACCGCTTGTCCGTTACGACAGTCAACCTCAAGCCTTCTCATCATCTCGCAGACTTGATTATCGATTCCGACTAGCAAGGAAGTACCATCTAGTTCAGCTTTCTTCAGCTGCCGAGTGACATACAAGACGAGCTCGGATATAAGCCTGCCATCCCCAACAATTAAAGAGTGAAATAAGAAGAAAGTAACAATGAAGCAGAATACTGAAAGTCGAGTTATACCTAATTAGTGACCCATGAGGACAAGGCAACATGAGAAAAGTCATGTACGACTATGACGAATGGAATAAATCACGATACTGAATTGAGAGTCTGTATAGATTTGAGGAATTAATCATGATTTGGGTCATCTATTATTATGTGACCGGTAACCATACAAGGTTTTTGTTGTCTCCAAGCTGCTCATTTCTTCTATGAACTCAGGATTTACATTTGCAAAGTGCTCACCATCTCCTCTCCGACAAAATAAAAAAGAGAGGAAGCTATCGATGTCCCACTCCCACCTCCAACATGCAGCGAAATATAAAGATTTCGAAAAGCTACTAGAATAACTCCAAAATCAAATAAAGGCCACTGTTTTGACTAATCGCAATCGTGCTTTCTTCTGGAGCCATTTCATAGCATAGAACAGTGTGTTTTGGCCAGAAAGTAACCGGGCTCTCACAAAGTCTCAAATGCTCCATTATTCACCAAGATAATTTACAACAACTTGATAATTCAACATCAATCACTTCACACTGGAATTTATAAGGAGGAAAAAACAAAGGAGGTAGAGTAGAATTACTGGTCGTTCGCGTGATCAAGACGATATCCCTTCAACTGTCCAATACGATGGAGGGCGCACTTCCAGGAGTCGAGTAACTTGCCATCGATCCGTCGTTTTTTGTTAGCTGCGAAGGAGCCAATGTCTGAAGGGCTGAGGCGATAGAAAATGGGAATGATGGCATTGTTCATGGTGTCCTTACAATCCAACATCTTGGCCAGCCCCATCAGGCAACTCTTGCTGGAAGCGTAGTCCGGCGAGATGATCGGTATCAATATCTTCGACTGTTCAATTGCTTCGACCAGCACGGGGTCAATTTCCTTCTCTGCCCCCGCCTTTCTTTCATCTCTAAACACTCTTATCCCCACACCGGTCAAGCAGGTGCCAAGGCGATTCACGAGATGCCTGTGCGTGTCTGCTCCTTTAAAGCTCAATAAAACATCGTATGGGGGCCGAACGGGGGATGCGAATGATGACGATGAATCAGTAATCTCCATCGTCGAGAATAGAAGGAAATTGCTTGTTTCTCTCTCTCTTTTCTTTTTCCCCCTTTTAACTCAAGTACGGGGGAAGTTGGAGCAACACAGTAAGGCTCGTTGACTTGCAGCTGGTGCGGGTCGTTGACTTGCAGCTTGTGCCGGTTGTTTACTGTTTAAAGTTTGACTGGCCTAGGAGTAAAAAGAGCGTGATCCATTTTCTGAGTACCCAAGTGTTTAAGCTTTATCATCAGTCATCACCGCCCACGGTCGACCAGCAGTATAGGGCTTAATCTTTAATGATTTGGGGTCTCAAGTGTTTCGGGTCCTCTGATCACGAGTTCCAAACCCCTCATTTGATCATAAGCCTCAAGACGCCTTGGTTGGTCTGTAGTATAGGTTTGATCATGCCATAATGTAGATCACTCTGACTCTATTCCCATTAGCATCGTGGTATGACGGCAGAGACGGACTCTTCCAAATGAATAGTAGATACGACTCAAACACAACCTTCTATCAGGATGTGGAACTCTTGTCATAATGTTGAGAGGTGGCTCTATACTTTTTACCAATAAAAGAGGGTGGCTCTATTTTTACAACCTTCTGACTAGGAAACAGCTATTTTTGTAAAAGGATGCCCTTGCCTCCACCAAACTCCCTTAATCTATTCTCAAAAGTTGATACAATACATCAATGAATGAGTACCAACAGCTGAGTTATGGTAAGACACCCACGGAAGTGTCATGCAAGGTAGAGGATTCACATCCCACAGTTGCCTGTACCTAATTTATTGGGATCGATAATGGAAACATGGTTGATTTCAACAAAGGGTGGTTAGAAATACTTAGTTGAGAAGCAATGAACGCATCTAAACGTGCATCACGGATGAGTAAATCACAAGGTCCCGCACCTAACAAAAGTAACCAAACACTTGGAAAAATATCTTCCGATGATCAAGGGATATTTTCTAACATTTTTCTTCCAAAAGTACGAAAACCGCATTATAACAAGTATTTCTCGTCTCTCGGATAAAAGAAAACAAAAAAGATTTATCTTATTGTGCGTTGCATCTTTTAACAGCTCATAGCAGTCTAAAACATAATGTCTTTAGTATCTTCACCTAACATTCTAAATGACCTTTTGCTAGAGACAAAATTTTCGAGCACAAAATGTAAGTTGACCGGAAGTTCAGTTAAACAGAGTCCAGGAAATAATTAAGAACTGTTAAAACAACTCAGTTGGTAATTGTGATAAAAATAGAAGACGAAAGAATTATAATATTTGCAACATTATCAAATGAAGAGTATATGAGCAACATAAATAGGCACAAGTTTCTAACTTCCCGCGTTCATGTGGAAGATGTACAAAACAAACACTAGAAAAGACTCGAAAAATATTATACTTGGGAACACTACCATGCAAGTGCTCATAAGGAGAAATGTTACTTATGATAGGTGAAGGAGTACACATGTTAAGTGTATACAACAGTAAGACATGCTTCTCCCCAAAATTGTTTGGGACAAGAGGCGGAAACTAAAAGAGTGCATGTAATATCTAAAATATGCCCGTGTTTATGTTCTGCTCGACCATTTTGTTGTGAAGTTCCTGGACAAGAACGATGAACAATAATACTATTTAGAGAGAAATTTAATTTAAGAATTCGGTGTTTTTATATTCCGTGGCCTTATCAATATAAAAAAACTTGATATCTTGAAAAAATTGTGTCTTTATCATGGCAACAAAATCACGGTAGAACGAGTAAATTCATATCGATTCTTCATAAGATAAAGCCATGTACAACGAGAATGATTATCCACAGACATTACAAAATAGGGAGAGCCTCCCATGGTGGGGGTTGGAGATAGTCCCCAAATAACATAGTGAATTAGATCAAAAGGAGCATGAGAGAGAAATTCACTAAGATCAAATTGCACTGCATGACATTTTCCCAATTAACAAGGCAAGCAATCAAAATATTTTGTATTAGCAACATAACCTATATGGCCACTTGAATTTTAAACTGGAGGAATAAGCATGACCTAACCGAGAATGCCAAGTTTCATATGACATTGTGGTAGTACAACCAGCAAAAGAGTTGGGAATATCCAAATAAACGAGCTCAAATATGGCCTGTCCTAATGGTCTATCTTATCCATGGATCTTGCATATGACAACCATAAGAAAAGAAGTGAACATCAAAACCAAGTTCACACAATTGTTCTACTAAAATAAAATTTAGGAAAAGTTTAGGAACCACAAAGGTATTAGGTAAGGATAATGTGGATGTTGATAAATTTCTCATATGGCTGACTCTCATTTGTGAATTATCAATTGTGTAAGTAGTAGGGACATGTAAAGTGAATGATTTTGATAGAAAGAAATTAAATTTTGAAGTCATATGAGTGCAGTAGGTGGATTGGAAATACCTCAAATTAGAATTACCTAAAGTGATGGACATAGCAGAAGGGACAAAGGAGCTAATAAAACCAGATTCTCAAAGAATGGAACAAAGATCCTCTTAGAAAAGGGTTATGGACAATCCATTAGAAGAAGTCTTCAGGGTAGTAGAAGTGGCAAATAGACTTACATGTGGACCTTGGTTTCGGGGTTGGTTGTCACAATTTATGGTGAAGAAGATCATAGGATCTGTCACGATACAGCAATTCCCTATGTTGAACCAAAATCACAAGATAGAGTTTAGTTACCAATCATTCGAGCTTGTGTCAACTATTCACGCATCATGAGGTTCCTCGTCACCAACTTCGGAGGTATCTAGAGTTGCAGTTATGATGGGTAGAGTAATGAATGGGAATGGTTATGCCCCTGCAGAAGGACTTGGTAGAAATGGCCAAGGAATCTGTAAACCCATTGAAGCTCCCAAGAGATCCCATACTACGGGATTGGAATATTGTGGAAGGGTAAGACGAAACGGTAGAGGATGAGGAAGAGGTAGGAGTAACCTCGCGGTACCCAATATCCAATCCACATTCTCTGGCCTTGCAAGAACGATGCATGAAGAGGAGGGAGTGATAGATTCGTTAGGGCAATCGAGTGGAAAGTTCAATTACTATGGGAGATATTGACCACCCCCGAGTTTCTTCGCCCATCGAAACATTGTTCTGGATCGGCGGGGTGGCATGGATGATCCGACACCACTAAAGTAGGAGGATCAACACGACATGCTGGACGAAGTCGTCAACTTGTTCGATGACCTACCCATAGGCGCCATTGATGATGGAACATTAGACGAAATGGATGCTAGCCCGCTAGAGTAAAATCCCTTTAATTATTTGCACATTCACTTGCATGGGAACTTTTTATTGCTTTCTAGGAGTTTGCAATTTGTTTGCATCTTAGGATTTGCTTATTTCTAATAAATGCAATTCATTTGATGAAAATCAATAAAACTACAAGTTTTCATTTTGAGGGCATGATGAGGTATATCAAACTAGCTCTGTGATGATATCCAACCATTGAAAGAAGATACGGTCCAAGGAGAATTCTGAAGGCTAGGCTTCCTCATGCTTCCTCGTTCCAAATTTTCGAAAGTCAAAAATCACTTCGAGACCATTTCCCAAAAAATTGCATTGGTTTAACCCTATTTGTCTTTGTGACTCATTTACTTTATGATTCAAGTGTAACCTCATGGCATGCAATGGTGCAGGAATGGTCCAATGTAATGTGTCAAGCGCTAGTGATGATAGCCTCGATGATCCAAATGACGATTCTATTGAAGTTCAACAGAGTTGCGAGCAACATGAAAGATCTCGACCTCTCACTGTTGAGCGAACAATCACCATTAACTATTGAGTGATACGGAGGATGTTAAGGAAGTAAAAATTGAAGCATGTCTTCCTGAAGGTGAAGCCAAATGCCTAATATTTTTTTAGGATAAATGCACTAGAAGTCCTAAAACTAGTCACAAAAGTGCAGTTGAGTCCTAAAACTTTCAAAAAGTGCAATCGAATCTTAAAACTTATCATAAAGTGCAATTAAGTCCTAAAACATTCAAAAAGTACAATCGAGTTCTAAAACTTATCACAAAAGTGCAATTGAGTCATAAAATATTCAAAAAGTGCAATCAACAAAAGGACTTGATTGGACCAATTTGACAAGTTTTAGGACTTGATTTCACTTTTTGAAAGTTTTAGGACTCAATTGCACTTCGTGACAAGTTTTATGACTTAATTGCACTTTTTGAAAATTTTGGGACTCAATTGCACTTTCCTAACAAGTTTTAGGACTTCCAATGCACTTATCCCTTTTATTTGTTGTGGCCAAACACCTAATTCAACTTATGAAAGAATACCAAGACATCTTTGCCTAGTCTTATTCAGACATGCGTGGTCTCGATCCATCCATCATGGAGCATTGTTTGCTAATTAATCTAAACATGCCTCCCAAAAAACACGGGCTACATCAAACCAAGTCGAAGTTGTCAAAGAAGATTGAAGAAGAGGTTATGAAACTCCTAAATGTGGGATTCATCGAGCTCTCATAATATCTTGAGTGGCTGGCAAATATAGTGCCCATAATGAATAAAGATGGTCAAGTTCGAGTTTGCATCAACTATTGCAACCTAAGCAAGGCTATCCCGAATGATGATTTTCCGCTACCCCACATAGACGTTCTTGTGAATAGCACCACTGGGTTTGAACTCTTCTCCTTCATAGATGATTTCTCCGAATACAAAAGATGAAGGATGGAGAGAAGGAGAAAAAAGTGTTCATCACTCCTTGGGGAATTTTTCACTATAAGGTTTTGTCTTTTGGCCTTAAGAACACTAGAGTGACATATCAACGTGCAATGATTACTCTTTTCCATGATTTGGTGCACAAAGAGATAGAAGTATATGTCGATGACATGATTACCAAGACTCGACGTGGATAAAGCCACGTTAAGACTCTAAAGAAGTTGTTTGATCGACTCCGAGAAGTTAAATTATGCCTTAATCCCGCAAAGTGCGTACTTGGAGCGACGTTTGGTAAATTGCTTAGTTTCATCGTGAGTAGTAAAAGCATTGAAGTTGATCCTTCAAAAGTCAAAGCGATATGTAAATTACAACCTCCATTGACTGTCAAAGAAGTCCAGAGCCTTTTGGGAAGACTAAACTACATAGCGTGATTCGTCTCCCAGCTTTCAAA